ATTTAATTACAGAGATATATTATGTCACACTTCACACTTCTCTATCAAATTGTGTCTGTGTGTGAAGACGCTGCGAAGCGCAAATCCGTGAATGAATGTTCTGAAGTGAAGTAAACTTCGATGGATTTCCCCTGCTCAGGGAGTAGGGAGCAAAGAACACTGTGTAGTCACCGGTGAGAAACCTTTTTAAATTACAGTTAGTAAATGTACTACAATACCAGGAAGGAAGATCGGGTTGTTGATGTTTGTCTGCCATTTTCTCTCTGTCTGCGCAGCGTGCGTGAACGCGCTATTGACGTATCCTGTCTGCGCGAACAGGGTGCGCAGAGGTATGCTAATTCATACGTTGACAGACAGGTAGGAAAGCTTTTGGCCACAAAAGCATGCATTCACAGTAACGTTTGTTTATGTTGTTGCCGTTGAAACCAATCTATACTTACATCCGTGTTCTCCGCCTCTGATTACCTGACAGAAGGAGTTGGGAAAAATTAAAATGTCTGGAATGCAGCATAAAACAACTCCATTAATAATGCATAATTTTTTTTACATTTACATTTAGACATTTAACAGACGCTTTTATCCAAAGTGACTTACAAATGAGGACAATGGAAGCAATCAAAATCAACAAAAGAGCAGGGGTGCAGAGCCAGTGGTGGTTTTGTAGGTAAACATCAATGCCTTGAATTTTATGCGAGCAGCTATTGGTAGCTAGTGCAAACTGATAAACAGAGATGTGACGTGCATTCTTTTCGGCTCATTAAAAAGTAATCTTGCTGCCCCGTTCTGGATTAATTGTAAAGGTTTGATAGAACTGGCTGGAAGACCTGCCAAGAGAGCATTGCAGTAGTTCAGCCTGGACAGAACAAGAGCTTGAACAAAAAGTTGTGAAGCATGTTCCGAAAGAAAGGGCCTGATCTTCTTGATGTTGAATAAAGCAAATCTGGAGGAAAATGTTTTAAAGAGCATGTGAGAGTTAGACAAATGGTTAACTTTATGATAGTATGTCCTTTTAGCAGTGGAGACATTAGCAGAGAAGGAAGAGAGGAGTGACTGATACACGTTAAGGTCAGTAGTATTTTTTGATTTGCGCCACAACCTTTCAGCATCCCTGAGCTTAGAATGATGCTCGCGGAGAACATCAGTCAGCCAAGGGGCCAAAGGGGTGGTACGGCCACGTCGAAAGATGACATGTGGAGGGGTATGTGTTGTGTCAGGAACCATGTATAAACAACTACAAAATGGATGTTAAGAGGGTGGGTAATAGTGACTGAATGTGATTCAAAGGACATGCTAATACCCAGAGAAGGTAAAGGAATACATTTCCAATCATTAGAGATAAGCAGACCAGTACCTCCACCTCTTCCAGTTAGACGGGGAGTGTGGGAAAATGAGAAATTATTGGAGAGTGCTGCAGGAGTAACAGTATCCTCTGGTTTGATCCATGTCTCTGTCAGGGCCATGAGGTTTAGTCTTGAATGACTAGAAATAGATATAATGAAATCTGCTTTGTTTACTGCAGACTGTCAATTCCAGAGACCAATAGAAAAAGAAAGTAATGTATTAGCAGACATAAGCAAAGTGCACAGGTTGTTAGGATTGCGCTGCCAATTGTGTGTGATGCGTGGTTTGCGAGTAGTAGTAATAGTAGGGATATGGAAACACATAGTAAGAGTTAGTCATAAAAACTGAAACAAGTGAAGAAAGGTGTAAAAAAAAAAGAAAGAAAAAAAGAGGTTGAGTCAAAAGCCATACTTATGTCCCTTGTCTGTGTCCCTGCACTGTGGAGTCGCATGGTAGACCTTTACTGTTTATCACAACAAAGGGCTAAGCAAGCGCACGACACTGACAAGGTATGCGATACAGTACGAGACCAAACTTAACTTCAGCTTGTCTCAACACAGTAAACAAAACAAGCGTCTCCTAGCAACGACAACTGCGCTAAACACTAATGAGACAAGAAATAAATACACTTACGATCTGCTTTTAACTTCCACTGATTGACTGCTTCTCTCAAAGAGTATTTCTTTACACTGTCTTTTGCTAGTGCTTAAACACACTTTACTGTTTATCACAACAAAGGGCTAAGCAAGCGCACGACACTGACAAGGTATGCGATACAGTACGAGACCAAAACGCAATTAACGCGGGCATTACATTAATTTAATTAAATAAATATATACTGGGGGCTGGGGAACTAAACTTATAGTAAGCCTTTAATATATAGCCTATTCCTAAAAGTAGTAGCTTTGTTTAGAAAAATAGCAAGGAGATATTGTAATTATTTTTTAATAAACTAGTGTTTTCCCAGTCAGTGTGTCGGCTGCAAAGATGAAGTGGATGCTGATTCCCCATCTCCGTAGTACAGTGGACAGTACAGGTGGATTGTAGACTTGGAAGTAAACACCCTCTGCTATGATTGACTAACAGCTGTGTATGTTTGACAGACTACATCCTTCACTGCTGTGATTTAGTTTAAAACGCATAAATACTCATATCAAACAATCTGTTTAACAGACAAAGCAATAGTGATCATGTAAAAGCTTTTGTGTTGTGACGGATCCAATATAGTCGGCACAGCATCGTCTTTATCATCTTTCTGAATATCCTGAGTCGAATTGTGCCTTGTTTGTAAACGAATCCGCAGTAAAATTAAGTGAACATACTGTAGGACAAAGTTCTTACTGACGTGGCCTGGAACATCATAAAAAAAAAAGTTCATCCACTCTTTTCTAACGTTGGGATCAGAAGGAAGGCAATGCAAATACTGTTTTTCTACAACTTGGCACTGAAAGACACTTGTCTTGTCTTCAGAGCCATCTTTACATTTTTCATTTAAAAACACGAGATGCAGTGGGACGGGGGGGAAAAACCCACCATAAAGTCTCAGTATATGTTTTTTTTTCAAAGTTAAACTTGCATTAATTTTACATGGCTTTCTAAACATGCGGCTCCTTTGTGCGAGACGCGAGTGCAACAGTAATAGATGCGCGAAATATGCGTTCTGTGTGAACAGCTTGGTTTCGGTTTTGATGTAAACAAGATCTTCTCCGCATTGTCCGCAGTAAAATTAAGTGAACATACTGTAGGACAAAGTTCTTACTGACGTGGCCTGGAACATCATAAAAAAAAAAGTTCATCCACTCTTTTCTAACGTTGGGATCAGAAGGAAGGCAATGCAAATACTGTTTTTCTACAACTTGGCACTGAAAGACACTTGTCTTGTCTTCAGAGCCATCTTTATTGTTTGGTTTCGGCGTAGATCTGCGTTCACCTCTCTCGTAAACACACTACATGTGTGAATCGGTGGGCAGGGCTAAACAGGCAGTGATGTAGAAGCAGGCGTTGATCTTCTGCGGAGGTGGTGTTTAGCCACACTATTACATCATAGAGTGGTACATTCCACAAGCTGTCATTTAGGCAGACTGGCTTCAGTATAAGCTGTTTTTAGACTAACGAGAAAGTTTTGAGTTCTGAAACTTTAAGGAAATTTTTATAGTACAATGACCTCTTATGTCAAAAGATCAAGGGAATTTTGGTTTCTCAGTTCATGACCCCTTTAATTTGGTTAATTTTAAAGTAGACATTTCAAGATCATCTTGATATTGTGAGTGTATAAAAATAAAATAAATCCCTTGACAGTTTTGAATTATTTATTACTCTTATCTGTATGAGCAAAAATGACAGCATATTTTAAGTTTTTTCCACTGTTATTAGGAAAAAATGCCAGTGATTGCGCCGGTGCCTCCATGTCATGCAGTAAGAGTGCTAACACCTTCCACACTCCGCACAAACACTTGGATATGTACCTAATAAAGCACATTTATCTAGTGTAACATTAGAGCAAATGGCTGTGTAAAGTTGCTACTACTTAAATGTTTCAATGATAAGCCATATTTGAGGTCAATGAATGATGCAATTTTTGGATTTTCTGCTAGATATAATGTAATTATATCTAGCATATAATTACTAGATATATACCAGCATATTTAATATTTAATTTTAACAATCTATCTGTCATGGACAGTTTTTTCTGTGAATAACCAACTAATAAAATTTTAGTCAACTTAACGTTTAGTCGACTATTAGGGTGCAGCCCTAAACAGTTTTTAGGTTATAACTTAAAAACTATAACTTTTAGGTTATAACTGTCTCTGCTGTAGACTGGCGTAGAGGTATTTTAATGCTGGTGTCACACTGGTTACAATTAACAGCATGAGAGATGGCGAGAACACATGCTATTTAATCGCATGCTATAAATAATCCATAACAATTTGCATTACAGTTTCAGTTTTAAGTCAATTAACTGAAAGGTCAGAATTTAAAAACTCACGAGAGGTCTCTCTTAGTTTTTTTTTTTCTTTTAAAGATTTTATACGTTTCAGTAATCAGATAAATTCCAATTTCAGAACTGTCATGTCTTTAATGGAGAGATGTTATGTTAGTGTTTTTTCCTCCGAATTACGAAGACAGTTTGTGTATTGTAATTCACAGAAAGTCTATGTTGTCTCCCATAAAAATGCATGTGTATTTATCATCTAAAAAAAAAAAATAAGTAGTGAAAATTGAGTGATGTGTTTTTATTTCTCTATAGGGTAAGGAGATTATTGAATACTACCTGAGGGAGCTAGAGGAAGAAGGTATAACTTGCGTACCTCGGTGGAGCCCTTGCCCACCATCACACACAAAGCCCATGGTGCCAGTTGTTATCCCTGCATTGCCTATCACTCCCACAATCACCATTGAAGCCCCTCCTGAGAGCATGAATGAGATTCAAGTGTGTAAAGAGGGCAGCAGTCCTCTGGGCAGCCTGAACGACGCCCTTGTAGCCAGTCCAGACGGTTAGTACCAACACTGTTGCCACTCTGACCTTTTTTAATTTTTGATAAAATCTGAGAGCTTTCTGACCTTGCATAGACAGCAATAGAACTAGCACATTCAAGGCCCAGAAATGTAGTAAGGACGTTGTTAAAATAGTCCATATGACATTAGTGGTTTAACCGTAATGTTATGAAGCTACAAGAATACTTTTTGTGTGTTGACTTTATTCAACAATTCTTCTCTTCCGTGTCAATCTCCACTGCACATTCACAAGAGTACTGCGATGCATGCGTGTGGTGCTGCTGACACAGGAGCCGGTGTTCTAATGTAGAAACACACATGTGCTGCACCTTGTTTACAAGCAGAGGAATGTACACGCTTCCGTTGTGGTACTCTCGTGAATGGCACAAAGATTTCTTCCCGGAAGAGAAGAAAACGTTGAATGAAGTCGTTATTTTTGTTTTCTTTGCGCAGAAAAAGTATTCTTGTAGCTTCATAAATTTAAGGTTGAACCACTGATATCATATGGACTATTTTAATGATGTCCTTACTACGTTTTTGGGCCTTAAACGTGGTAGTTCCGTTGCCGTCTATGCAGGGTCAGAAAGCGCTCAGATTTCATAAACAATATCTTAATTTGTGTTCCAAAAATGAACAAAGGTCTTACGGGTTTGGAACGATGGTTGAGTAATTAATGACTGAATTTTTTGGTGAACTATACCTTTAACGTTTCATATAAACATTGTTTATTTAAGATGTGCTAGATGTAAATTGTTTCAGTCTATGTTTAGATAAACTGGATGCAGACTACATCAAACGTTATCTGGGTGACCTCACACCCCTTCAGGAGAGCTGTCTGATTCGCCTGCGCTGCTGGTTGCAGGAGACACACAAGGGCAAGGTGAAATGCGCACACACATTTCTAATTTTCTAATTTTCATTCAGAAGGATCAATATCTATTGGCATGTGTGATTAATCCGCTGATATGTGGACATTATGAGATTATTGGCATTGGCTGATAACTTTGACTGTGTATGTATGATAAACCAGATGGTTTATCCTTGTTATTAATGCATAGGTATATGTATAGAGAGAGAGAGAGAGAGATATTAGCCATCTAATAATTATTACTCTAATTATTAGAGCCATAAATTTAATACATTAGTTGTGTATTATTTATGTAAAAAAAAAAGGCTTCATTTCTGTAATAAGGGCATACATTTTTTTTTTTAAGCATAGCGACATGTATTCAAACAATTCACTAATGATCAAGTTTATGATCTGGTCACATTTTGTCAGTAGCAGTCTAGAAACCAACCTGTCTAGCTTAGTTGTTGATCCTCCTGTCTTCTTAGATCCCAAAAGATGAGCATATTCTAAGGTTCCTGCGTGCACGGGACTTCAACATAGATAAGGCACGAGAGATCCTTTGTCAGAGTCTGACCTGGAGGAAGCAGCATCAGGTGGACTACCTTCTGGACACCTGGAGCTCTCCTCATGTGTTGCACGATTACTACACCGGAGGCTGGCACCACCACGACAAGGGTGAGTGAGCACGTTGATGCCCTGTCAGTTAAAGGTATTTCTCTCATTCATTCGTTGCCAATACATACAGGCTTACTGAAGTGTTTATTTTTGGGCTGTCAATTTAACACGTTAATATAACGAATTAATTTCGAGAAGAAAAAAATGAATGTGTTCAAATTTTAATTTGAACCTAATTGTGTCTAAAATATAACGCAATATTAAGTTATTATTTATTGAAATGTTGTATAAAAGCAACATCACATTTGCACTTATGCTATTAGGGACAAAAACAGCACTCGGGTGATATTGCACTTGTTGCTCTTGTGATATTGCTTAACTATATCATTCATAAGATATAAATATGAGACAAAGTCTCATACAGGGGTGTTTTTTCCTTAATATCTTGAATTTTAGGGGCATATAACTGCATTCTATACGCTGTATTACACAGTGAGTTGTTGCCGTGCATCATGTTCGTCACCAATCAACTATATAGGTGTGTTCAGTTTAGGGCTGTCAAAATGGCTGAAAAACTAAATTCGAATTTTGTACTTAAATATTATAAAAATTAGAATTA